AATAAAATATATATATATATAATTTTTTTAAATTCTATGGTAGATTTTTAAAAATGTTTTTAAAAAAACAGTATTCATTCTGTTTAAAGGTACAGTAACAGTATTGAAGAATATTGGCAAATTTAAGTGTTAATGTTCATCAACACATTTCCACACGCATGCCATGACTGTAGTGCAGTTACAGTCCTCAAGACCCAGTCTAACAAGTTTAAAGTTATTTGGGAGTGCAAATGCAAATATAGGTGTGGGGTTGATTTTTGTTTGTTTTTTTCTTTCAGGAATTAAGCCACAGTTTGTCATTGATAGAAATATTCTTTATTGGGCAGTGATCTTCTTATTTTGTAAGAGTTAAGCAATGTTGAGCTGATGCTTTGGAAAATATGAGGACGTATTGTTGGTTTAGTGTATGATAGTCTTAAGAGTCTGTCTGGTATAAATGTACTCTTGCTCTATAGGCTTGTTCTTTTGGCTGAGAGATGTAATTAAAATCCCAATCATTTGTAATGCCTTAGCACTAATTGTAAATTGTAAGGCTGTTTACTCCTAATATCCTGAACAAATTTCAAAATATATCATTATAATCTACTTAAACTTCCCAGGTAGCTTCAATTAGAGAATGTACATCTCACTTTCAGACTTAAACTGCAGCCATCCCATTTTTTTTCCCCTACATTTCATGCTATTGATGCAGTGATGTCTGCCCATAAAAACTGAGTCGAAGTCCTGTAATGTTAAAAAAGGGCCCTAATAATTGCATGAACGGTCTAGTTCATCTCTAGTTCTAGTCTGTCTATAAGTACAGCATTTACATCCGTGTACATTGCAATTTAGGACTCAAGTGTATTTGCCTAGACCATCTTTTCATTGAGCATCCAAAGCTCCGTTAAGCTGGAATTCATTGCAAGTTCAGAAGTAAGCATGGAAACATGGGCCCAGGCACTGCTGAAGTGAGCCTTCCAGAATGCAAGACTAAACACCAAGTTCCTTATTACAGCGTGAAGGTAACCTATTTCAGCAGCAAGCACACCTAAGAACACTTACAGACATGGCAGGAGTACACTGTGCTCCCAGCAACCCCTAAATTGTGTTTTAAGAGCAATTGGACTTGCTCAGGAGACCTAATAGAAATATCAGGAAATGACTGATTGCTATTTCAATTTTTCTCTAACAAACAAGGTCTTTTTGTAAGTAACAATGGCTGTGGAATCAGCCTCTCACATTTTTTCCCCACTTGGGAAATGAATGTTTTCAAGCATGCTTAAACATAGTACCTGTCATCAGTGCTGGCACATGAAGCTTGGGCTAGATTGACTAGGTGTACGCAGGCCCAGCCACTCAGAGTACAAGAGTCCAAACCAGTTCTCTCCCCTGACCTCTCCACTGGACTGCCATTAAGCGTGTCCAATAGCAACTGGGCTGACATTCAAGGGATAGTAAGATCAGCAGGCTGGATCCCTTACAGCAAATCCAGTTAGAACAAATTCATTAATTATGGGCGTTATGTAGGTCTTGTTACGGTATGTAGAAGTTTATATTTCTTAGCAGGGAAGTTGCAAAGTTTGTGACATTATGGTTGCACACTCAAGTACATTTAATTCAAAACCTATACAGTGTATCAAGTTGTTCATCTACTTTAAAAAAAAGTCTTTTTTTTTTTTTCTATGTTATACCCTACACAATTTTTGTCATAGCTTTTGAATCTTCAGTGTGAAGAATGCAAGCTGAGTGACGTTGTGGAGAAGGTCTGGAGGCTTCTCAGTGCAAGTTAATCAAAGCAAAAAAAAAAAAAAAAAAATAATCAGAAAAGCCAGGTTCTAAACAGGAAAAGGAATACTTCCATTTTCTTTTAAAAAAAAGTTTCCTTTGCATATTCTTCTCCCACATCCAGCATGTAAGAGCAAAATCTACAGCTTCAGGACTCAAGCAGATTTTTAGTAGGCAATGGAAATAAATAGCTAGAAAACTGACCTTGTCAAATGTTTGCTTGATGCATGTACCTCCATTTCATTACTTTTGTATTCATTTAGCTCTTTCCGAATTGCTGCCTAGGAATTGAAAATAGAAAAAGGTTAACAAATAATGTTACATTTATCAGCATTGTAAATTACTGCACTTGCAGAGCAGAACAGGAGTTTTCTAAAGTAGAAATAATAGGTATGGGGTATAGCAAAGCATACTATGCCAGTAGAGATGCTGAATATTTAGGTTATATGGATTGGTGATGTGATACTTCTTATTCATTACTGATTGCTGACAGGGTCACTTCTGTCTAGAAGCAATTCTGACAGGAGACTAAAACCACAGTGCTTATTGTCTCACATTTAATAGGATTCCAGTTAAAATTTATTAAAGATTAAGAGAGGTTGCTGAGAAATTGATCTGCTGGTCAACTGCCTCCTATGGAATTTCAATGTGTCTCATTTTTTAAATAAAAATCAGACTATTTGCCTTATCACAACTTGCAAATACCAGTTCAGACTGTATTATCACCTGTATCCATAGGATTGCACAGTCGTAAGTGAAGAAAAATGTTGTCTTTTGGTGCTTAACATAATGAAATTCAAGACTGTAAAAGTGAGAGCATTCTTTTGTTTAAATGGCCACTGCGAGTGAACTGGAATGTACTGGTGCTTTCACAGATTCTTATAGATCTGATACTTCGTAGTGTAGCTACCTAAAATTATGAGGCTTGTATCCATGTATTATATCAGAGATTTGGCTTATTAAAAGAAAAATTAAGAAAAATAATGTATTTGTCTACTCTGAAAAAGAAGGTTTTTAGACACAAATGCAATGGTCAAACTCCTGATCCTGAATTCCTGACATATGTCACCAGTACATGCAATTGAACTCTATCACTTTTTTTTAGCTTATAAACCTGCCTAGTTAACAATATAAAAACAGTAAAAGTAGGAAAAGCCTAATTTTAATACATACCCAGAACATATAAGGAAAATACAAAATCATTATTCCATTGATTAATATATAATAGCTTATTCACCATTTTAGTGACCTCAAGAGAACAGCTACTGTAGCAGAAATACATTGTTCCTTTTCTATATGCGTCCTCTAAAACCATTTGTTATACTTTTTACTGGGGAGACACTGGAATGGAGAATGATCTCCATGTCTAAAGGAGTAAATAACGGTCCTGTATTTGCCATTTTACCCAGTAATTATCTCAGCATCACTACTTGTTCTGCTTGCTGCAGCCCTGAAACTTCAAAACTTATTCAGCAACTTTTCTATCTGGAATCATGCTGAACGATTTTTCTTACTACTCAAGAACCTAAATGTGAAAGTTAAATTAGGATGTAAATCAGCTATGTGGCACGTATGGGATGGAACAAAAATAAGTGTTCGTTTATGCTTGTGAAAATGTGGGATCAAGCGACTCCTTGAGCATTCATAGGAAACAGGAAAGGAAATATTTCCATGTTTAGAAACATAGTAGAGGATATTTGCATGTTTGGGACAAAACTTCCAGTTTGAGGATAAATGTTAATACTGCATTGGCTGGAAGTGTTCTTGAGTTGTACCCCGAAATCATTAAGGAAGATTGTATCCATCTTCTTTTTTTTTTTTTTTTTTTTTTTTCCTATCAGTTGATGGGCTGGGTAAAGCCTTTATAGTACTAAATAGGCATTTTTATAAATAGCATTTTTTATGACACTATGCATTGGTCAGTATGGTTTCAGGATAAAAGATAATGGTAATATTTACAGAGATTAAATTTCCCAGAGGTTAAATGTCTTTGCAGAATCTGATGTATCATTATAGACAAAGCAAGTAGAAAGCAGTAATACATCATTTTAATTATGTCAGTACCTTATCTGCTGCTGATAGTCTTGTCCATGGTTTATCTGCTCTCCTGTCATAGTCCTGTGCTTTTGCCACTTCCACATAGTCACTGAATCGAATCAGGATTTTTCTGTCTCTTAGTTCATCAACTGTAGGTCTCTGGTTAAGCTGTATTAAATGGTTTTGTAAAATAAACCCAGTGTTAATAACAAACATATCAATAAAATGTCCAACATTTTCTGCTTCCCATCTTAGCTTAGTGTGCATTTATATATATGGAAAAAAAAACCAACAACAAATCAACCCTTGGAAATTCCAGGGAAATATTCAATTCTTCAGAGGATTGTTAAGAGAGTAATAGTGGTTTAAAGGGAGTTGTGGGCTACAGCACAGTGGCTTTATAATGAACAAAAGAGGAAAATATTTTAACTTGGGTATTGATAAAATGCATTTACAATATGTAAAGAGAATCATAATGAATTTATCATGATCTGTGTATAATATCATAGACTGTAGGGGTTTTCTACTATAGTCAGCAGCAGATTGTAAGGTTTTCAGGACTGGACCCATTGTAAGAATTTGATTTTGGCTTTAGCAAGTTATCAGCATATTTGGCTTATAATTCCAGTAGGGATTCCTAGGAACAGAACAATAACAAGATCTAGTTCTGATTCTGAGAATACCTTAAATGCAAAGAGAAATTTCTTGTGGGAGCACACCTAGTGCTCAGCAGGGAGTCAGCTCTGCTACTGACTGCTACAAAGAATGAAGTAGTTCTCTTCTAGCCATACAGTTGCAAAATATGCAGTGTGCTAGCAAATATCCATTTTCTGATTTAAAATTTATATGTAAATATTCTACTAAGTTTCATGTAGCTAAGATAAGGTAGATATTTTTATAATGCATATTACTAGATACCACTATCTCCGACACTGCTTAGGAGGATGTATATTAAGGGAGGTTTTGTGTAACAATGACCTTTACAACTGGTTGATGTGATATTAACTTTGCTAAATTTCTAAAAACTAACAGAAGGTATTGGAAGATTTTACCTTTCTTGTCAGTCTCTGTTTGATTTCCCTTCTTTCTTCCTGTTCTGTTTGATCATTTCGTTCTGCGGAGAATATAGGAAAAAAAAAACATGACTTTCCTCGTGAGGAGGATTGGTATTTTCCAAAGTTCCGGGCAATAAAAATTAGAGTACAGAAAAATTAGTAGCTGGTTCTTAGTTGTATGTTTTGCTAGTTCAGTACATCTCCCTAGTTCTTTATTAGAGCGTATAGTTATCTCTCTGTAAGGACAAGGTACTGGGACCAATGTCAGCTTTTCCTGTGCTCTAAACTCCATCTCCAAGGGGATTTACTAAAAGAACAGCAGCCACGCCAACTCTCAAATTGTATAAAGTTTAGAAGGAAAATCAAAATATTCCATAGTTAATCACCATTTTTTATTCTCCGTATTGCTGGAGCCATTCATTGCTGTTAGATGCTGAAAAGACTTACTGCAGCAGCTCCAGGGAACATATGTTCTTTCCTGTATAACCTTATTCTCAGGCTACATCTTTAGACAGTCACGCTGCCACAGTAGTTGTCTTTGACTTGCATGCTTTTCTTCTCTGCTATTCAGGATATGCCACTGACATTAGAACCTCTTTATCCTCACGGGGTCTTCTTTTGTAGTGTTCCGTTCTAACCTAAGCCAGCTTGCTTCTGTGTGTTGTGCCTATTAACATTCAAGCCGTGATAACTCCTACACACTGAGTCTAAAAATAGACTGGAGTGCTGTAACAGTGTGTGAAATATATCCTTTGCCTTAGGAAGCGAGTTAATGGAGTTTCTATTTCTAGTACTATCTGTTACTAAATTAAGGCATGAGCCTATGACCTGAACAAAGCTGGAGACCTAGAGAAAAATGTTTAACCATACTGGGATTCTTTACATACTACTGTGAAGTTTATTATACCACTTGCATTAGGTATTTCCAGTGTTAAAGCACACATGTGATTTTTAATGTGCCTTGAAAAAACACTAGCACTGCAGATGAGTTTCCAAAATGACACTTCTGGTAACGAAGTATTCTTCTTCCTTATTTTTATGCTCATTAGATTACTCTGAAACGCAATCATAGGTATCTATTTAAAGTAACATAGTAGTGCATAGCTACAACTGGCTATAGTAGAAATGTAAATCAAATGAATCTAAAATGCTATAGTGTGCTATTTTACAATTTGATGGCAAGGCACACAAATTTAAAAGAGAATAGGACAGCTAAAATTAGTGCTCTGTCAGGGATGAGCAGCTATTTAAGTCTGGAATGTTTAAAAAGAGAACAGGCTTTAAAAAGTGGAGTATATTCTAAGATGTAGAGATACCTGCAAGAAGTTACTAATATGCTTCATTTGGTTTTAATTCACCCCTTTTAGAGTAGATATTCCTATCTGTATATTTTTATTAAAAGAATAGAATTTTCTGTGGTGTAGTACCTTTTTAAGATAAAAGACACTGATATGCACTGAGAGAATTCCTAAAGAAAAAACACAAATACACATTTCTGATCAAAAAATGCTTTTCCAAATATACTAAACATGTATAGTGACCCATTTCTATGAGACATTCTCTCAGGTTCAGTGCTTATTCCAAGCTCCAAGAAATAAAAGAAATAGTTCTTTTAGAAAAAATGAAACAAGATTTGATAGGAAATGCTAGCAAGGGCATTATAAAATTCAGGTGTTATTACAGAGACAAACCAGAGAGGTTTTTCCCATCAACATCACTCTGCCTACACTTCAATCCATTCATTGGTGAGGGCTGGGTTTATACATCTCAGTAGAGAGACGCTCCCAATTACGAAGTGGCATGTGCAGTATTGTAATTCATTTTGCTGCTCTGTGAGTTGTCCAGGGAACTGTTAGCTGTGTGTGACACTAAAACAATTCCTGGTGTTAAGAATGAACTGGGAATTGTAGTGTCATTTAAGAGATGCTGCCTTTCTTGAATGTGAATGTCAGCTCTCTGTTGAATACAGGAAGAACACCTGGGAACACCTGGGTGGTGATTTTAGTTCATATGCTTTTCATGCTTTCTGGTAAACCAGCAGCGTTTCTATAGTTAAAGGAAAGGACTTTGAAGATCAACAAAATTGTAAGAAACTGTTGGCTTTAAGTTTGCTTTTTAAGTATTATGTTTATCTCAGAAACATCTCGTTAAGGCAGATAAGAAGTCACTTTTTTTAATCTTACCAAGATTTGTTTTGAAATAACATAGTAGTTGCACTTAGTCACTTGCAATATGCTTCTCATTTTGACAGTTGTACAAATGTGAATTACTTGTCCTTAAAACAGCTTTGGGGGTAGCACTGCTTCTGTTAGCAGTGTGTATTACGAATATCAAAGATGTTAGGAAGCTTACGACACAACTATACAAACCCTTACAACCTGGAGGAGGTTGTAGTGATTTCACTGAAGGGCATTTATACTGCTACAGCTTTGCATGTCAGACCCAATCCAGGTGTCTTGAAAGTCCGTAACAAGAATGTCGATATCCCTATTCACTCAAAACTGAGACTAGAGTTGTTGCATCTGTCCAGCCTTTTAAGATTACAACTGACACATCTAAATGAGGACCTTAGCTCTTGACAAGATACCTAGCTTTTTATATAATGGAAGAGGTAAATAAAATAGAAGTGGTTCTGATCTAAGCTGAACCTGTATAAAGCCTGAGCAGCTGAACTGAAGTCAGTAAATTTGCTCCATGCTGGGAGCTCTTTAAATGAGATACAAATCTAGACCAGTATGTTTAGCTGGCATTCAGGAAATATCTTTAATTCTGCTTTATCTTCTTTCTGCTTTATCTCTCTCTAAGCTCATTACATGATTGTATTCAAACTTTTTTGTTATTAAAGCTGGTCAGTTTAACCCAGATTAAGGATGTAACCAGCACACTTCAAAAAGTAAACATAAAGGAACAGATTTCAGTAGAGATCAGCTCTTCCTTAGCCAGGAAAAAAACCCAAAGAAGCAGATTTTCAGAGATCTTAGGTACTGACTCTTGAAAATCTGGCCCCACATATTTCAGAATCTTGGGTTACTGCTTTTTCTCATCTCTTGTGGTAGATGACAGGTGAAGTTAGGCCAAGTTCATCCATTTGCATTTGCAAAGAATATATCCTTTTTCTTATTTAGCTATGCACATATTAGATACAGCTGATTTTACCATGTGCAATGTATGCATTGCAACAGTACTGAAAATACTGATAAATATAAGTTGACTGTGGAATTCCTTTGTGTTAAAACTGAAATGAAATCCGCAATAACTTCAATGGCAAGAGCATAAGTGTTTTTTTCTATGAACTACTAAGAAAGTTCTGAGACATTACATTTTAGGTAACAAAATGTAGATAACTTTTTTCCTAGCAAATTACAATCACATTAATAATTAAATATAAATTAAATAACATAGGCAGCATTGCTTGTATGACATAAACTTATGTGACTTTATATTTTATGCCTATTTAATGAGAAACAAACTATTCACATCATTCTTGTTTTTGTCTTCCAACACTAGATAGACCACAAAAATAACAGAAGCAATATACTTTTTCTTCAACCGGATGGCCTCCCCCTTTCTCCTGACTGAGACCTAGAATGGAGACAATTTCAAAGTGCTCTCTCACTTTCCTCTAACTTAGAGGATTCCCAGCAGTTGTAAGGAAAGGGATTGTGTTCGTCACTTGTTTGATCCCCAGATCAGAAAACCAATCTTTAGGAAAAGAGTTGCAAGTTTCTGCCTTGTGTTTATTTGAGAGATGTTGTGAACATTCCCCTGTGGCAGCATCTGTAACAGGCCTGGAACTGTCCCTCTGATAACTCTAGTATCTCAGAATGATCCTTCTTTGACTTGTCTTTGGGAAGATCTCTAATGATTTAAACAAATATACTTGCTAGGAGAATCACACCTCTGCAAGGATGATTTCTCCATTCCACTTGAGCTTTGGTGGTATTCAGTGTACGGTTTGCCATGACAGTCCACGTTTTGAAAATTGTCAGTCCAGTTCTCACTGCACTGTGTGACACTAAGATTGTATTCTCCTCTTAGACATCCGTAACAGTGTAATCAGAGTGAAAATGATTTGAAAGCCTCAATTTGAACAAGTCATTCTTTTCTGTACTAAATTGCACACCTTTATCAAGTTGTAAATTCTGATTCCTGCAGTATTTGAAAGCCAGGACGCATGAAAAATTAAAACTTTTAGGTACAGAAAATAATTCCAGTGAATGAATTTGTCTATTTTAAAATAATATGTTCTAGAAATGCAATCACTGGTTTCAACAAACACATATAAAATAATTTAGGAAAAAAATACTCACGTTTAAGTATATTTCTTCTTTCTAGCTCCTCAACAGCAGGTCTTTGGCTGAGTCGCCTGCGGAAAAACACCAAAATCACATTTTGTACCATGCCTGTTCTTTGGAAAGTCTGCCGTATTCTGAGTTCTAGTTGGTGTGTTCCTCAGGGAGGGGACTACAAAATCCCTCTCCAGGACTCAGGAAGAAAAAAAAAAAATACAAGAATCCTGGCACCAGAATGCTTTCTTATATTATTTTTCCCAAATGTCAGCAATGCAGGTAGAAGTTCTCCTCTAGTTTGCTCTGCTGTCAGTGAAACGCTTCCTCAGAACGTGCATCCTTTTCACCATACTTTCCAGTCAGTCAGTTGGAACCAGTGCTCTCTAACGGTTAAATTCACTCTTGAGGGGGTATTTAAGGTGGTTATCAAATGAGTGATCTTCTGTAGCTATCACTGCCACTATCTTTTGATCTCATGTAGCAGCAGGCTTCCTTTTTTCTAGTAACACCAGTGGTGCATCCTGACAAAATGCAGACTTGCCAGAAATAAAGCTTTCCTGTGGTTTCCCGACTACACATCTAACAGACCAATCCAGCAGCTCTCCTCCTGCCTGCTGAATAAAATTCATGTGCTGCTCACAGCCTCATGCTGTCTGAACGGAGTGTCTTGTGCAGTTTCACCTCCCCTTTTCAGTAGTGCTGCTTCAGGATTGAGTCTTCAAATCATATGATCAGTGCCATAGCGATTTTATTCTGCATACTAAATGAGACTTCCCCACGAGACACTGCTAATATCTGCAGAGAATCTCAGGTAATTGAACCCCTCCCCTAGGCAGACACACACACACATGCTGCATTTGCTAGCTTTCAAGTAATAATCCAGCAAGCAGATCGGAAAGAGGTTATGAGGCTTTCTGGCCTGCGTTCTGGCAACGTTAAGGATTCTCATCGTCTCCTCTCCGGCAGATGTTGCCAAGCCAGAGATGAAGTTACAGAGACAAAGAAATACTCGGAGCAGGGACCACACTGCAAAGCACTGCTGCAGTAGTTACCCCTGTTCTGTGTATAGAAAATAAAGGAATGATTATAAAGTGATACTACAACAAGATCTACATTTTATGAAATATACAAGAGATGAAAAAATAAAGTAACTCTTAACAGACTGTAAAAGAACCTGTAAAAGTACCTGATTCTAATTTCACCTTGTTTTGTACGCCTTACCAAATATACCTTCAAAATCAACTCTGTATTCACATGTTCTCATCCCCAAATATGAATGCAGCAGCCCAAAATATGAATGCAACTCCTTATCCTTTTTTAATTCATTTCCCTGAGATCACTGGGAAAGCCCTCATCTTCAGCAACAGGAAGGCATCGCAACTACTGTACCAGGTTCACACCAACAGAAAACTTAGATGATGAGCTCTTGTGCTTAGAAACACCTACAGCCTAACTCTCGTTCTTCCTACTTAACGTCACCTAAGGTTTTTCTCCTGTCTCTGGATTTCTCTTTGGAGTAATGAGTCGGATACTCCAGCAGTGGAAGTTGCAATAATCCAAACTGAAACAGGAATGATGCTGAAATGCCCTACTAAAGGCTTTAAACATGTATTTTTAATTCCTGTTACCTTTGGACTATTCCCTCCTCACTCATTTCCCTGTATGTCTCAGAAATGATATAACTCTGGCTAGGTTTTGTTTGAAAGAGATTAATGTGCATTTTATAATATAAATCAGGGAAGAATGGCTGACTTGGAGAGCTTATCTGCAAATGAAAGGTCCACACAACCGCTGCTCACATGCCTCTCTCTCAAGGTATTCTTAATTACAGCCCTTCCATGCGAGATTTATAGATTCTCTCAGAATCTGTATATTAGATTTCAGAGGCCCCTTTTAAACTGGGGGATTAAAAGCCTAACAGAAATTATTAAAGCATTATGAGAATGCATATGTATATGAATGCTCTGTATTTTTTTAATATATAGATATATATAGTTATAATACATATGATGGTTAATTATTTAAAACCCTGTTTCCCTTTTGGCTTTGATAAATACATGGTAGGTGCCCAGAGACAATAATATATTTCTGTGCACTCCCTCAGCTTTACCCACAAAAGAAAAAAGTGCAGATATACACAGGCATATACACACACAAGAGGGCATTGCATGGGGATTTTTTCCCAAGTTTTTCAGAGATATGGACCATACTTCCAAGCTTTTTGTCATAGTCACAAAACTAGATGTGGACTCTTCTTAAAAATAACATTCTAGCAGGATTTCGGGAAGCTAGAGATAGAGTGAAAACACCAAATACAGCAAGTCTCATGATCAATGAGAAGTGCCAACACTAGTGACGTTGTTGCTACCAAGGTGTAGGACATTTTGTTCCTATTTTATTTTTTCTGTTCAGGAGAAGCCTCTCAGTGCCCAGAAACCCCGTTGTTTCCGTTCTCCGCTGCGAGAGCTGTGCCGTGAGGTGGCTGGGCTCCGGGCAAAGGGGAAACAGCTCGAGTCAGTGAAGGTGAAGGACTCCAGATGCCTCCACCGAGGGCTGCTGATTGAAACGCGGGGAAGCAGCGGTGAGCACAGCCCAGCCAGGCGACCCAGGGCTGGAGGGGCCACGCGTCTCTGCCGGGCTGCGCTGGAGTAAATCAGGACGAGAGGCCCTTTCTGCAGGAGGGTCTTCTCTACGTCCGGAGAGGGGCATGCCTGCTTGCGGAGTGCACTGCCTTGCCTCATCATCCATCACAGCAAGAAACTAGTTGCTGCTGTGGTATTTGCTGTGCGAGCCCAACCCATCCTGCCTGAGTTGCTCAGCTGCTTTGGGAGGATGGAGGAGGGTGCTTTATCCCCCCACGGCGGTCTAAGAAGCCCCAGCTGGGCTCCCCCAGCCACACTTCGTTTCCTCAGAAGGGGACTTGCAGTGCCCCTTGGTGCTGCCAGCTCCCCTCAGAACTCAGCTGCAGCCGGGCTCAGAGAGGGGTAAGGACAACACATTTCTGAGGGCTTCTGTCAGGTCAGCGGCTCAGCATAGCACAGGGGAAGATACAGGTTACCCCTGTCAAAAATGCACGTCCCTCTTGAAGAGAGCTTTTAAATAACAAACTGTTTCAGCTGAGTTTGTGCCTCTGCTTGAGTGAGCTGTTCTCCGTGCACCATCAGGCTCTGCATGCTCTCCTGAGCAACAAGTGCTCTCCTTTGCATATTTATTTCATATTTTTCTCTGAAGCTATTAAAATATGAAATCCTGCCTCTGACAGAACCAGAGAACACCCCCTCTGTGTTGAGCTCAGTGTGTTTCCTCAGAAGGTGGCCGTCTGGAGAGGCAGGGCCTCAGGGAAGCCTGGCCTGGGGAAATGGCGGCTGGCTTTCCTCACACGGCTGCTGGGGAGCGCAGGCCAGGAAGCAGGGACTCACAGACTAAGGCTCTAGAGGGGGGATGCTCAAACCTCCTGTGCTTAAAGGAAACAAACTCCAGCTGAATACGGATTATCAGCAGACAGCATCACAGCAGGGGAGCCAGTGTGTGATCCTGGAGGATGAAGCTG